CCTATCAACAAACACCCAGCCCTTATGAAGTGTGTCTATTAAACAAGTAAACTTACTTACAGTTACAAGACTAAAGTGGCATGTATTTCCCCAATCCTACTGTCCCCTTCTCTGAAAACTGCACCTCCATTTTAAATTAATGTCATTGGTGGCTGGCTTCTTCATTTTTTTGTGGTTTTGTGTGCCAGCCCACACATGTGAGTTACCCTGGAAGGCACTGGTGACAGCTCCAAGGCACTGGCTAGGTCACCAGTGCCTACAATAACCCAGAAGTTGGATTTACTAAGTTCACTAACAAATATTTTATTTTCCGAAAGCATTTCCAAAAATCAACTGAGCCAGATATAAGCCTGAACAGGGACTGATCATTTAAGATGCAGTCTATATCCTATCCTGTATTCAGGCACCATGGGTGACTGCTGCTTGAACACAGCAGCTGATATTAAAGATTTCTTCATCTACAAAGGGTTTTCTCTTGTTCAGCCCCGCGTATTTTGAAGAGTATAATTGGTCAATGGTACAGCGCTATGGGTTCCCGGTATCTATTAAAACAAGTATGTGAACTAAAAAGTGTCCGTGGATCTCTACAACCATAAATCAATTGTATAAATAAATAAATAAATAAATGTATATATATCAATTTATATAAAATGTGTGACCGTCTTCCTTTATCCAGTGTATCAGATAGGTGAAAATATACGTGAAACTTTACACAGAAAATAAAGGAATAAATGAAAAATTTATAAATATAGATGACTCTTCAAAAAATAAGTGGATGAAAATGAAATAAATGTTGTATTTGACTGTATTTTGAAGAGTGTACAGACAGCTTTAGCGTGTAAAAAAAGTGTTACATCAAAAAGTAAATATGTGCTCACTAAAAAAAATGAAAAATACTTTCCCGTTACTTCAGAATATAAGACCCAATCAGTAAAAGACAGCAGAAGGCAGGGAACTTGTGCTTCCACTGGCACTGCAAATGCTCCAACTGTAATGGTCATTTTTTGTCAATTTTTTAGGCATGTTGGCCTCCTGGTGTCCAGGATTTGTCCAAACCTACTCTGGGTCGCTGCAAATATTCAATATGATGCAGCTTCTGAGTCACTGTACAATCTTGACTGGCTATGTATGGTCATATTCAGCTCAGGGTTAATGTTCCTGACATAACCAAGGAACAGGGAGATCATTTTGGAATTGAAATTTCTCACGACATAAGCGACTATGACTGCACACTGCAATTCAGCTTTGAATCAGGCTGTGGAATTTATTTTGACTTTAGATAATAACCCTAAATGTTACTTTTAAGTAAATTCATCTCCAGAATGGGGGAAACCTTAAAGCTGCACTCCAAGTTAAAAAAACACAGTTTAATGAAGTTATGGGTTTTTTAATAAAGTGTATTTGATATGCAACTAGGATGAGCAAGTTGCTGAATGTGTTTAATAGCAGCTTCTTGCACTGCAGGACTCAGATTGGGAAAGAAAAGACCAGAGTGAGGAGCCAAAACTGCTGCGTTGTAGTACAGAATGCTGTCAGTCTAACACTGTAAACACACAGGAGGATATAGCACATCAGGGTTCATCAGGGTGTTGTTGCTCCTTTTTTTGATATAACAGGTAGGGTTAGAACCTAGGGTAGCCCCATTGCAAAGACTAAGATTTTATTTTCCCAGAGTTCTTCTTTAAATTAAGAAAACAATCAAAGTCTGTGTTCTAATATAAAAGATATAAAATACAATATAAAAAAGCTTGTGCTATTTCTTTGAGATGAAAGAAGAAGCTAATTATAAATAGTCTATACAGGTACTGTTTCTATGCAACCGAGCTTCTCTGGTAGTGAAATTCGGCTCTGGGCAAAGCAATGTTCTGAAGAAATTATTTGCATCAGCAATTATAATTTTTTCCCAAAATTCTTTTAAGTAACACACTGAAATTACAAATTTCTCCTGCTCCATACCCTTGTACTAACACCCACGTACAGATGAATAACAAATAAGAGAAACGTAATAAGGCCATGCAGAGTGCACTATCTACACAACGTGCCATACTTACGAGCCGACTTCCCAGCCTATCAGAAAGCCTGGCGGCAGGTCATTACTCGCCGCCCGGCTTCTTGATTGCACAGGAAGCCGGCTCCCTGCGGTTTGGCCGGCTCCATGCTTATTGGCCGGGATGCCGGCTTCCCATCCAATCGGCATTGAGCTGGCTGTTTGGCCAGCTGGATGCTAAATTGGCCAGGAAGTCAGCTTTCCAGCCAATATGGCTTTCTGGCCAGCCCGATGCATCAGGAGGCAGGTCATTACCCGCAACCCGGCTTCCTGATGGGCCGAGACGCCGGCTTCATGCTGATTGGCTGGGAAGCTGGCTACCCGGCTAGATATATAGTACTGGAGAAGAAGGTAGACACCACTCTTGTTTTCGGTTATGAAAGTTTAAGGGCTCATTAAGGTGGTTGTGTTTTGGTAATGCGCCTTTTATGCAGCAACCCATGCACCTGGGTGGCCTGCCATTTATTTTGAATGACCAATGCACCCCAACGCACTGCACAGTATTGCTGAATGCACATTACACTGCAGTGCACCACAATGGGTAAAGTTTGTGTAAATACTTTTTTTTTGTATTGGATAGGGTATTTTTGGCTGTCTGTGTCTGCTGGGGAGACAGGAACACGACAGGAAAAGGGAGGAAAATTCCCCAAAGTGAGAGGATTTCCCATCTTAGTGAACTGTCATAGGAGCAAGTGTTACAATTCAAGAACTTCTCACTTCCTGCTCTGGTGACAACACTAACATTTTGGATATCCCTTGGTTTTCTGTTTAAATGACAAAGGTTTCCAGGAAAAATAAGGGGGTGAATCTCTCCAATGGGGAATGCAGGCAACACTAAAAACCTAATTCTAACCAAAACTAAAAAAAAAGTTTTGCTTTAAAGAGGAATTGAACTCAGGAAACTGTGTCCAATAAAAGGCAGGCAGAGGGCAAGTACTAGTCCCCAGTATTGCCCGTGGTCTCCTTGCAGATGATCTTTCCCTAATTACTAATCTCTTGTTCTGCTCTGTCTCTCTATGTGGAGACGGCCATCTTGGTAGAGTGCAGGCATAAGGATCGGGTGATGAGCATAACAAGCAGTTAACCCCTGCAGTGCGGGGGAAGCCTCACTGCAAGGGTTAATAAATATTATTTGCTTAATTTATTAATTGCTTCTTTAACATACACTTTAAATGTATTCTTTAGATCTAAAAAGGCCCATAAGAACAGCTGTTGAGCACATTTATTAGGCCATGGCTGAGTGCTAATGACTGTATAGCTAGTTAACTTTCTAATTCAAGAGGTTTAACAATCGTATTTTATACATCTGTCGGTAAAAGTTGTAGGAATCCACTTTTAAACAGACACAGGGGTAGCAATACTGCTTTACACCTAACTTCATATAATGGCCAGACTGCTATAGTCTGGTATCTGCAAAACTGAAAATGTAGGCCAATAAGAACTGACTGTAAACTACGCCAACATACAAGCAAGAGGTATAGTGACTTTTACTGTATGGTACTTACATTGCTGCATGCCTATCAATTGTTACTCGTGACTAGAGAAAAAGAATGTTCACACAATTCCTCTGTTCCACACATCATAATGAGTACCCCAGTGCAGCTGTAGCGGGAGTACAGAGATACCAGCCCAACTAAATAAGAAAATACAATATTTGACTACTATATAAAAGAGCCACTTACTCTGAATGGCTGGTCGGCAATAAATGGAAAATAAGGAATAGCTGACTCCTCTTCTCCCCACTCCCCAGACACACAGGCATTTCTAAGTAATTGTTTATCATTGAATTCTGCTTTCATTTCAATGGCAACGTCAGCTAGTGGATCATCCGAGTCTCCGCATGTCAGTCTGATGTCAAAACTGAAAATATAAAAAACACATACATGCATCAAGATAACTTAAAATAAGGCAAAGAGCAATCACTTATGTGCAAAGTGCATTTACTGATGACAACCAATCAAATATCAATTTACTGTATGCTTATCAGTCAAAAAATGTATTGTAAATGGCCACTGCCACAAACCCACTATCTGCTACTGGCTTGCAGCAATGCAGAATGCAGTGACTATTTACAAAGTCTTATTAAAAAACATCCAACAGTTATCAATCAAAATATGAAAGCATTTTTAAACATATACATTATTTTATACACTGCCTGTCCCCAAAAAAAGTCAGACACTTAAGTATTTAATTGGACCTCCTTTAGGTTTGGTTATGGCACGCATTCGCTGTGGCATCATTTCGATAAGCTTATGCAATGTCACAACATTTATTTTCATCCAGAGTTGCATTCATTTTTCACCAAAATCTTGTTGTGGTGATGGACCATTGGGGTTAAGTTCGGGATATGCCCAATGTACCATCACGGAAGAAAAAATCCACTGATGGAAAAACCTGGTGATTCAGTATATTCAGGTAGGGAGCTGACCTCATTTTTTGGGGACATGATGTTGCTGAACCTAGACTTATTGTCCAGTGGAAGGCTCTTACCTGTTTGCTTAGCTAAATCCAGGTGATGACTTTTTTTGGACAGACAGTGTATAAAAATGAATCAAACATATGAGGTGAAGCATTGTTGCTGCAAGACCACCCCCTTTTTTAACTAATCCCTAGTTCACGGTACAATGTACTTTGTTACCATTCATTTTGGGACACTAAAACACATGTGCATTAGCATGGTGTGATGGGGTGCCCAGAAGAATGAATGGCACTGCAGCAAAACCTCAGAAATGACAAGCATTTTTGTGCACTGCAGAAAAGAGCCAGATTTTTTGGGTATTCCTCTGGAGCATAGATGTGAATGAGGAATTCTTTTGATTCACTAATTTTTATACACATATCACAATGACATATAAGGGGAGTGGTGATCTATGGGGGTAAATGTTTTGAAGCACGATTGGAACTTTTTTTTGTGCAGCATCAGAACTAAACTCCCTCCGGCCAGTGACGGAAGTACAAGCTTGCCAGTATACGTCTGTAAGTCAATGCAGGACCTGTCCCGGGTGCGACGTTGGCAGCATGTCATACACATTTGTTCCAATATCAACAAGACATCAACCACTATAATGAGAACAATTCAGAAATATCTCACTCATTTAAAGTATATCAAAAGCTAAAATGTTTTTGCTTTGGAAAGAAATAGTTAAAACCAATGCCAGGTGTTTTTCCATCTGTCGCTCCCCAATGAGGAAAATGAGGTCCACCTCCTGTCCCGTAGACACAACAGGAAGTAAGGGAATGTAAAAATATAGAAATCCCCCTTTGTCACTTGTCACCAGAACAAATGTCCAAATTGAAAGATCTACTCACTATAACTGTTCCAGCATCAAAACGTGGGATTTTGTTTCATTTTCTGTCCTGACAATAGTCATTAGGACATATAGAGAGAAATCTCTCCACTGGGGACACAGAGATAGATAAAAAAACAGACAAAAGTTCTAGCTCTTTCCCACGCTATCCAAAACTAAAAAAAGTAGGCTTTACATATACTTTAGGGCTGACACTGCAAGTTATTTCAGTCGTACTAGCAGGAATAATAAGGTTAGTATAATTTATAGAAGAAAAACTATATACTACAGCCTGCTGTACTTGTGCTTTCCCATACAGCTTGTGCGTAAATGTAACAAAGATACAGTCCATAACATGCCTAGTCATAGTGTCCTTAGGGCCGTTTGTGCAGCCAGTTTTTTCATTGATGTATTGGCCTTTTTTAAATTGTTTTTGTACATTTCCTGCAATGTTATTCATAAATATGCTATGAGATGAGCACGTTTGTAAATTGCAAACTAAAAAGAAAACCTCAGCCTCATAGCAGGAACTGCTTATATCGGTCGGACACTCAAGCTACAGTAGTAGTTGGTAAGCTCTGTACAGCACAAGTACAGCAGGCTGTAATATGTGTGAAAAGCACCTTCCTATGCCAATGTGACAAGAGTCTACAGCTGAAGACTTTCTTTGTTTTTGTCTGAAACAGCATACAAAGCACTATCTGTTACTAACAGTTACCCTAAGCCTATAACTACATGGGACTTGTTTGCATCAAATGCATTGTGCTGTGTGTGTTAAAACATTTGTTTGTACTGCAAGTCAGTTGAGAATGTGTGCAAAATGCATTTATAGTGAACCTGTCCTGTGCACAAGTAGAACAAAACATTAGGCTCGCTTTGGCTCCCCTCCTTAGCGGCACCTGTTTACCTTCACGTCTGTGTAAACTCTGAACTGCTCTTGCTGGAGCTTACCCAGAGGCGTGTTCAGTCGCTCAGCCGCTGAGAGTGCTGAGTTAGCAAACTGCCACTGAAACGCTGTGCAGCAAGTCATTGCTCAGCACTGCTAACGTAGCACTCGCAGCGGAAGTGAATGTAGATGCAGAGTGCTGAGTGTGATGGAGAAGGTGGGAACAGAGCACCAGCAGCCATTTTAACTGTGGGCACACCTGGCAGCACTGGAGAAAGGTGCCTGAACCCTGATGTAGGAAATAATTTCAGTGTGGAACCTACAATTTAATGTTTTGGTGGACGAGCACACCAAATGTTCATTGGAAAATTTTATTTATTAGTCAAAAATATTATACTCCGCCATTTTGCTTAGCACTGTGCAGCCGAAGTGTTCAGTAAAGCTGCTGCAGCAAACTAAGGCCTTGTTCACACCAAATGCAGACCAGATCCGGTCAGGTTTCTGCACACGCAGTGTAGTGGATTGTGCCGCGTTTTTGATGCGTTTAGGGCCGGTTTTGGTAAAAAAATAAAATAAACTTTTTTTTTTGTAAGTTTAACATGGGCTTTCAGGCACTTGCCTGCGTTTTTGATGCGTTTTTGCGTTTTAGATGCGTTTTTGATGCGTTCCAGACCAGATCCAGAGCAGGTAAAATAGGGCTTGCCGCAGTTTTTTCATCCGGTCTGGATCCGCACGCTGCGATGTGAACTGGAGGTCAAAATACCATAGGAATACATTGGACGCAGTTTTGATCTGGTCTGCACCTGCTCTGGTCCGGATCTGCTCCGCGCTTGGTGTGAACAAGGCCTAAAGTACTGCAGAACAGCTACTCAGCGCTTGGATAAGGAACTGAACACGCCTCATGGCTGATGACTTTTCCAGCCCCATGTGACAGTTCTGGGCTAAGCACAAAGCAGCAGAGCTAGTCCCATGCTCCCCTTTACCTGAAAGCTCCGGGTGTTTTCTCTTCTCCAGACACATAAAGACAGCAGTAGGAGAGTAATGAAAAGGATTTTTATGTACTACCAGATAGGGAGCTGCAAAAATAAACCTGTTGCTTTGCCCTGCACAGGTTTGCTTTAAAATACTCTTTGGTCAAGGGTACTACCTCTCAAACGTATTGTCCCAGTGAAATCCTTGAAAAAAAATTTAAAGGCTCCGGGAAAAAAAATCCTTTACATTGGTGGCCAGTGGGAAGAATGTCACCCTTTAGAGTGTTGGTCAGAATGCCACCCTTACAGACAGCTAAAGAGATCACTAGTGTCATGCAGCTGACTCTGCCAAGTGACCATGGCCCTGAAACTATGCAGGCACCATCAAATGAGAGGTCAGTCAGCCGAAGCTCAAGAAACACCTACCAAGCTCTGGAGGAAACCTAGGGTTCCATGGAATTCTGGTTGAGAATGGCTGATCTACAATGTATTTTAATGGGGTGCATGGTAGAGTTTGTCAAGTGCATGCCACATCGTAGCATCTATAGCTTAACCAGACCTAGTTCATAGTTGTTTTATTAATTTGACCTATACCTAAAGAGTTATTTGCATGTTCCTGTCTGCAAGTAAACCTGAAGATACTGGAAACGCAGGATTTTAGCAAGGGCAAAGAAAAACAGAAATACAAACAGCTTGTTTACTCAACAATACTGGCATGCACCGATTACAGCAGCACTGGAGCAAATCAATATGTGTATCTGAGCATGGCTTTCACACCTTTCGGGGTTCATGCCGACCATTCCCATGATGAGAATTTTCTTCCCTGGCCTCATGCCACCTTTAATGTGACCACAGAACGGAACTGTCTGAAATTATAAATGATTCAGTTACAGGAGGACAAAATACAAATATACACAGACATCACATAACTAACAGCTTGGGAACCACACTGGTTAATGCCCAAGTATTAAATCAATACCTTTTAAAGCTCTCTCTCAGTGGTAAAGCAGACTTATACATAATTAAATGAATGAAATGTTCAGCAGCTAAGTCTGAGCAGCAGCATAAGAAATAATCTAACCTAATTCTGGTGCCAACATTTTCCTACTGTACAGTTTGTTGTGAGACTACGAGACTGCTTGAAAATATTTAATTCCCTCGGTACACAGGGCATTTACTAAGCCAGCGCAGACCAAATACAAGGCAATTCTGTTGTGTGCATGTTTCACCTTTTTTCCTAGTGCCTGCCATAAAGGACTTTGCAGAAGAAAACACATTTAAGAAGTACTGAGATTTCAATGCTTATTCCTTTGGTTCAAATGCAAGCAAATCTTCAGTCAAGTTTGCTGACGCTGGTAAGGCAGCTCTTAAATACACAGGCGCTCCTTAATGGGTACCCAGAAGCAACTTAAAGTATAGACATACAAATAGGAACCAAACCACAATGTGTGTTGTTTTTGTGTGTTCATGATACCTACTGACACACAAAAACAGCCAACACATCTTGGTGGCAACAATATTTTCCCTTCATCAAGGCTAAGAAGTATAGAATGGGTACTTGAATGGACTCAAATATTTGATCTTGTCCAAACCTTCTATTAGATTGGAATTCTAATACTGAATTCCAGCAGTTACTAAGTTTTGTTGCCCGTGAGATGTGGTGGCTGTTTTCATGTGACGGCATTGCTAACAAATGATGGTACTTTGGACTCTTTCAGGTTGTGGTTTGGCACTCATTTGTATGTCTTTATTTTGATTAAGGATTCTGCAACTTGTATGCCACTGTAAAGTAAAATGACTTTTTCATTTGGTGAGAAGGTTATGAGTTTTAAAACCGGTAGTGCTTTGAAAGATAGTGAGTTATAGCGTGGTGTAATCATTGATGTCTCCTGAGATTGTTTTGAGCGGCACCCTGCATTACTTACAGTGACAATTGTGTTAGTGTGTTCTCCACACATCCTATACAGTGGGGACCTGCTACCTGTACAAATCACCCATGGCAACCAGGATATAGCACAATAATGAGAGAACAATAAAGAAAGAGAAGACATTCTATGCACCGAATATTTTTCTTGTGTCACATTATTTTTTACAAATGCAACGAGGAAGATTTATCAAAACTGGAGCAGAAGAATCTAGAGCAGTTTCTTATGGCAACCAATCAGCTTCTCTCTTCAGTTTGTTCAGTAAAGGTTTGAAAATTAAAGGTGGATGCTGATTGGTTGCTCCAGATTTTGTCTGCTCCAGTTTTGATGAATTCCCCTCAGTATGTTTTACTATGCTACAAATAATTAAGTAAAAGACAGCTATACTTTTATAAAATGTCAGTTACTCCTTAGCACCCTGCCACAGTTTTAGGCCCTTTTCACACAGCTTTCCAATTAGGTCTGCCAGTCAGTTTTTCAGGCATACCTGATAAGAAGCTCAATATTCTAGGGGGAGTTGTATGTAAATGGACAAGCTTCTTCAAGTCTGTCTAGGTCTGCAAAAAAAAAAGAATTGGATCTGAGTTCCATTTTGGCAGACCTGGAAGGGACAGAATGGAGGTAACTAAATGTAAATGGACACATGTCCGCTTACAGCCAAGTCCCCATAGACCTAACATGGGTCCGTACGACCCTTGCAATAGAGGAAAAAACTGAATGGACAAAGATGTCACAAAAGTGACATCCGTTCCATTCTGTTCCAATCAGTATGGGTTTTGCGCATGGATCCCCTGCTGATCAGAACGGACGGTGCCTGTGCCCGTGTGGAAGGGGCCTTATACTTGCTAATCTACGTGCCTGCGAGGTCCACATAGGGGGGGGGGCCTCTGCAAACTCTCTGATTGGTCCCTCACTCTTACATGCATGGAGAAACTCTCAACTGTAGCTATAAAGAGGCCGTCTATTGTTAGGATGTATTATCGATGGTCTCTCCAGGATCTTCTATGTGCATGCGCAGAAGAAGCGAGGAACTGACTGGAGAGTTGGCAGCAGCTATGCAGCACCCTGCAGTGTTATCCTTTAAGAAAATATTTTAAAAAAACAAATTTTTTGTGAGGTGCCGAGATCACCGTCTTTTCGGCCAGCTTGAGTTTTGTTCTCCAGAGTCTGCATGCCTTAATTAAGGCCCCATTAACTGTTTTTCATGCATGCATTGATGTACATGTACTTTCAATCCTGTGAATGGGGCCTAAATAAGAACCAAGAGATGTGTTTATTTTTAGTTTTTTAAACATGGAAACAAACACTAAGAAATAATTGAGAGCATCGGAAGCAGAGCTTTGTGAATGAAAACCTGGTAACAACTTTGTCCCCAGATGAACCAGTGCAGGCCAGCTAAACATGTTGGGGCACTTGCATGGGCTTTGAACTCAAAAGCAATGCATTAGATGAATACAGAAATGTATCTACCCAAATTAATAGCTGGCTTAAAAGTCTGGTTCGGAGAAAGCTCCTTTGGTGCACATAAAACCGCAGGATATATAACCTTTCAAACGGTTGAAAGTCTGGAGGGGATGTCTCAGTGGTATAATGTGACCAGCTACTGAATAGCTGCAGCCTGAATAGCACCTTTCATTTGAGAGCACTAAATCATTATGTATAATGGCTGTTGATGACTTTCGGTAGTGCATATAAATATATATATACATCCTGCTAGGCAAGTAGGAAATATAACACCCCCAAGTATGATGACAAATACAGCTATACACCTCTGACACCTAAATCTCTAAGGACATGTGCCTGCTTATTCTAACACACTCTTTTATGTCAGTATATTGCTCACAGAATAAGAAAATGCTAAAGCCCAACTCCAGCCAAAATTATTTTTCAAGCGTTAGATAGAGTAGGGAAAGGTTAGAAATCCTGCCAGCAATTTATAGCTGTTTTTGTTGCAGTTGTGGAGATTTCCCTTCATTTCATAAGTGGTCACAAGGCAAGGAAGTGAGGAAAAATCATCAACGAACGCTGTGAGGCAGGCTTGGAAACTCCATCGGTTTAATATTACTTTATGTATTCCCTTTGCAGATATTCTGTGTGGACAAAGGATTGTGTAATGCCCTCAAAATGACTTTCAAGTTTATGCCTTCCCAGTGAAGGGTATTTCTGATTCTACAGCATACAAAAACATTTTAGGCAATTGTGTGCTTCCAGTTTAGTGGAGATAGTTTGGCACAAAGCCATCTCCATAAAGACATGGTTTTATGAGTGTAGTATGGAAAAAGTTGGGTGTCCAGCATGGAGCTCTGACGTCAACTCTAATAAACACCTTTAAGATGAATTGGAACACTAATTACGAGCCAGGTCTTCTAGTGCAAAATTAGTACCTGACCTCACAAATGCTTTTTTGGCTGATTGTACAAATTCCCACAGATACACTCTAAAATATTGTGGGACGTGGGAGCCAACTCTATACTACAGTTTTGGAACAGGATGTCCAACAAGCTCATATAGATGTGATGTTCAGCCGGCGTCCACAACTTTCAGCCCTATAGTGTTTTCCCCACAGTTCCTGAGGACAAGCACAAAAACACAGGCAAATCTCTCCAGTAGGAGCAAAAAAAAAAAGAGTTTCTAACCTTTCCTCACTCTATTCAAAACAAATGTGACTGGAGTTCTAATCCACTCAGTCTATTTGTGTTACAATGTGGAGGCAGTTACAGGGGAACTAGCAAAGTACTGGTCTATGTATGGCAAACATTTATTTGCTCTATAGGATAAAATTAAAATATAATAATTTGACAAGCAGATGTAACTGTGACATGGCAGAAGAAATGTCATGTTTTTAAATATTCAGTTTTGCACTTGGCTGTAATAATAATATCGCCCCCCATAAATTTATAACGCCTTATTCACACAGACAGTGACATGCTTTTCTATTTCTCTCACTTAGTCCTTTCAGGGCAAAGTGACAGAGTCCCTTAATAGCCCACCCTCAATCCCACTTATATCCATCATCGCTGTGCAAGCTTGCCAATGAGTTCCTCCACCATCCAGTTTGGTGCTTAAATAGGGTTGACGATGTCCGCCTGGCAAGGGAAAGAGGCACATTTTATTCTTGGAAATCCCCTGTAGTGGAAACGAGTGAATTCTTTCCTCATGTTTGCCTCGCAAATGATTTATGCTGTGCTTCAGATCATTCTAATGACTATGTGTTCAGAATTTCAGCACAGGACAAACAGAAAGCATCATGAGTCATTCCACCAGACACCGGCACACCCCCAGTTTTAATCTAATGCTAATTACACACATTATAAACTGCCCTATAATTACTACAACTTGTCAAACATCTTGCTACCTTCAATGTATTATTTCTACTAATTCAGACGTACAGTGTGTGAAATTTATATTGATACAATATATATAATTTAATTCTTCATAGCTTTTTTCAGCAGAGGAGCTACCTGGAACTTTAAGAAATTACAAGTGCCACCTTGGTAGAGCCTTCTTATTTGCTGTTAACAGAAGCCGGTATTTTCTGGATGCTTCATCGCTTTAAGACATCACTGCTGACCTTAAAATCTGTGCATGAGGCTGCAGGAGGTATACTTGCTGAAACTGGTAGCTGTTACTGACAGATGGGGTCCAGCGCTCATAGCACCTAGTATATGATCAATTCTCTGCTGTCACCAGTTGTATTTACTGCACAGATCCTGGGGCCATGTTAGGGGAATGTGGAGCTGATCCAATTCTACCAAGGCTCCCCTACACTAATAGCGATCTGCTGATAACAGCAACCTCAGTTTTTTGAGGGTGATAGATCACCACCACTGTTAGGCAAAAAAAAAAATATACTAAAAATATATAAAACGTTTGATTACTATGCACAGCTGCTGTAAACTTAAACCTCTGTGGTTTTTTTTTTACAGGAAGTCGCTCAGCACAGAAGCTGAGCAAGACCCAGATTATCACTGTAAAGCACTGCAGTAGCTGTGGATTCTACTGGGGTTACAGGATCCCCATGGTCCTACCAGGGATAAATTCATCTTTATAGCTGGAGTTTGGTTTCAATGGCTGCCCGACAACTCTATTCAGCTACCAGGAGTGAAGAAAATACCTGGATCTTACAAGTATGGAAAGCCATGGGACTCACACCGCATCCTGTCAACTCAAAATGCTGGTGCTGTGAGATTGCCCACTCAGGCACCCAGCGCTGTCACAAAGGGGCTAAGAGAGAGTCTTCATGTCCGTATATGCTTCATGTTCCTCTGTTTCTAAGGGCCCAAGAGAATTGCCTCTAAATTGTCTCTCTCTTTTTTGTTTTTAAATTGGCACAAGCTTGCTGGGAACCTCCTGGATGACAGCTGAATAGCCCTGAAGTGCTTAGCTGATTTGAGGATGTGAAGGTAAATTATCTTTGTGATACTTTAAAAAATATTCCTATCCTGAAAGGTTTCTGTTAAGGTTGTCTAGGACATCAGATAACCAATACTTACAATACCAATTACCTCTATACGTTCAAAGCAAATTACAGTAGAAATCTCTAACACAAAATAGAGATTATATAGGTTCCAAATGAAGTACTGAAGAAACCAGTTTTATATAATGTATGTAAGCTTCACCAACAGACAAAACACACTATGCAGTTTCACTGTATTATTTGGAACACAATAGGGATCACCTTTTAAAAAAATAGTGCAGTTGTTACCAATAACAACCAGCCAGCAACAAATGAAGCCGTAATTTGTTGCAATGGACATCGTGACAGTCCTATCCTGATAGTATGGTTGTTGTCTTCTTAACAGCAGAAACAGCAAAAGAGATCCATGCTAGCCATGTACAAAATCATCAAATTAATTGATCATAGATGAATCATTCTAAACAATGTGTTGCCTAAAAATTATCATTTAGCACAAGAAAGAAAATATCAATTTGGTCGACTTCCATTGTATTTTCCAGCATCCCTATTCTATGAAAATGATTGTTCATAGATTGTAATGATTGTTTTTCTGAATCAGTTTATGAAAGATTACATATGATTCATCAGCCATACAAATAACAATCATTATAAATCACAACTGGAACCTTACAGGTGTGGTAAACTTAGGACTTTTGCATCAGCTTAGTACTGCTAAGAACTCAGCCTCTCTCAGGTAGGAAGGCAATTGACCTAAATCAAAATAAAAATGAAGGGTTTGTCATTTGGCCCATCATGCTAAAATGATGTAGAGATTGTCATTGTGTTGGCTCTGACATTTTCCTCTTAAAAAGTTGTGAGATGTTTCCTTTTATATCCCTATAACATGAATGAAAATGATAAGAAATACAAATGTGGTAAGATCTCTGGAGATCCCAGGTCTGCACAGGTGTGAGGGTCACTACAGGGGTGCTTTTCTCCCTATTGGGTATAACATTTATTTTTACAAGAATGCAGCAGGAAGCATGACAATACCCAGATGGAGAGAGACTTTAAGGTGGGCAGAAGAGCTGAAAGCTACAGAGGCTGCTGGTGTTACCAATAATTAAGCCTCAGGTGATCCGGCCTGTAGACTGAATCTTTGGTTGAAATTTCACTTTGGGGTGGACTGACAGTATGCAGGGTGTATCCAGTTCGTTTATTTATGTACTTGCTTTTTGGGAGATCACCGTAAAGATGCACTTAAAGTAGACGCCAAGTCTCCATAAAGTCTCCTCAACTAATATATATATCACTAAGTTCTTCATTATTAATGGTATTCAGCATGGTTTACTCAGCAAATAAATAACTTTTTTTAACCATAGTCTCGTGACTAGAGATAGCATTCTCTCTCATCTTCCTGTCTAATGACGCTGAGAGGATGGGAGGAGCGGCGGAAGAGTAAGTAAAGTGTCTGCTGGCCAGCAACCCCTCTATTAAGATGGATGCAGCGATATGATGACAAGGAATAAGAGTATCAAAGGACTGACAATGCTGCAAATTCAACAGCGTTAATGTGGTGTTCTCACCCCAACACAGCAGCAGCACTGGCAGGATCAACAGGTATGGACTTGGAACTGAGGTAGTGATTACAAATAGGAAAACTTGATCTTTATTTAAGGCACATTTGAATTGGATATCTAGTCAAAGTTATAGCTTGCAAGCTGTCTAAATTCTACTGAACAAAAGGCATGAAGGACTTTGTAGAGTCATTGTCCATTTCTAAAACCACCTATCCACCAGCATGCAGGAAAAAGGGACAGTCCAAAAACCTGGATCCTTTAAATAATGACAACCTTATTTTTCAGAGAAACAAACCTTGATTAGATAGTTCTATAGGTATTTTTAAAAAAATGTAGACAAGAACTTACCAGTCGTGGAAAATAGACCTCTGCTTGAACAGGAGAACCCAATGGACTGCTTAAATGCCTGCTGTCCAACTGCTACAAAGGGAAAACATAACATATGTCAGTATCTATATTATGAGTGAATTACCTTTCCATAAATAAGTGTACCCCCAATGTATTTCTTTACAATGCACTGTACATTTGACCCTAGACTATTATAATACTCAGAGACTAGGCCTACTGTTTTCTTTTCTGTTAAAGTCCAATTGAAATCTTATACTGTTTTATCTCTTTATCTCTTCACGTAAACCTGAATGTTATAATTTATGACTTATTTATGCATGGAAATTACTTAAACGTATTTTTCTCTTAGTGAAAATGCTGCTTTCTATCCTCCCCTTCAAGTGCTCCATGCTGGCATAACTGAGTCACATCCACACCTCTCAGCACAAGTGTCCTCACATGGACATGTATAGCAGAGGAAGAGAGATGCATGTTAGGCCTGCTGTAGCAGGAAAATAGAGGTAAGACCATGAATATGAAGCCTATTGATATGATGTCAATCTGACTACAAATCTATTTCTGTGACTTTGGTTGAGCTTTAAGCTTCACGCATATCTTAACAGTGCTATGCAAACCTATTTTAAGGTGTTGTTATATAAAGCCCAAACAGCTATAGTGTACAAGGGTAAATAGGATTCCAAATTAGTGGACCCACCATACTACACAATATTTAAAATTTTGAATATATTTGTTTCATAATCCCAAAATATTAAAAATACATGTTTACTTTTTATGTTTTACTTTAATGTTGGTGTTCCATTATGACCAAAGCCCGGCAGAAGATATTCACAAAAGTGTAAGGCAACTGAACTCAAAGACGTAGTTAATGATGGAAGTCCATGAATCCCATGTTCTATCCCTAGTTTCTGTACAACCTCAATATTCCATAAAAGAATACACAACCAAGATTATGTTCCCCTCTGTGAACATATATAATGAATACTATAAACAAAAAGTCAGTGAAAATGTATGCGGTCAAATCCAGTTTGTAAAAAATCCCCTTAATCATACACATTTTTCTGAACTTTACTGCAGATGCCTAAATGATTATATTCTGTAAATAATGAGGTAGACCATGCCGACATTTGCTGAAGTGAAGTACTAAGTGGAAAGATCTACCCACTCCTAGCATTTTAGTAACTCTGTGTAGACCAGGGGTAGACAACCTCAGCATTCACTTGTGGTTCCACAACAGCTGGAGTGCCAAGGTTGCCTACTCCTGGTGTAGACATTCAGGAAAAGAAGCAAGCCAAATGTGAGAGTCCAGGGATGTAATTCCTGCTATTGTCACAAGACAAATGAGTTTGATTTTTTTTGGCAACTGCAGACTGAAATAGTATAATACTAAATCAAAACAGAGAGTGTAATTGAAGATAAAAAAATAAATTGAAGTTACAACATTGTTTAAGGAGTTTCCCTTTAAAGTCAGTACCAGAATAAACCTTCTCAGAGAAGGGGCATTACAGAGAGTGCAGTGTTTGTTTTTTCCTTGCTTTGCAGATTGTGACTGTATGACCTTCCATATACTCTAAAGCAGATAGGGCCGGCATACTGGAAAGATAAGAGGCATTCTCCACCTTTGCACCTGCTCTGTCAGATCATAGCACATGCAATATGATCCTGAGTAAAAGAAAGTGACATTCAAAATAACATTTGTGATATAGGCCTTTATGTCAACATAGGACTGATAGGAAAGTAAAAGCTAAGTGATCATGAATGAAGGCCACTATCCACTTGCCACAAATTTAAAAAAAACAAAACAAAGTACTACTTTCCTTGGTACAAATGCTACGAAGATCATGTGATCGCTCAAGACCTTGTTTTACTAATGCAGGTTTGGACAAACTAATAATAGACCAGGAGCTAATCAGTCTAAGCTAGGAGACAGCAGAAAATGTAAAGGGGTCGAGACGGCTTTCATCATTAAAGTGAACCTCTTAGTGCATGCCCCAACTTTCACTGTGCTGCCTATCTCTATGGTGCGTCAATGGAACCCCATCAAAATATTATACAATAACAACTTTCTGAAAGTTGGTATTTGCATATTACTAGGCACACTTCCCCTGCCCTACCAGAGGACTTCTATGTTTTCTCAGAAGAATTAGTACACATGTATAGGAAATATAATAGAGAAAGTTACCCAAATTTTTACACACAAACTGGGGATGTCTGAATGTTGTAGATGTCATTTGCCAGGTCATTCCAGCCCTGAGATGCTAATAACTGACCCATGTGTTGGCAGCATGCATCAATGGGATATACTTTAGTGGTTGGAGTGGCTGAATTCATGGGGAACACTTCAGAGAGTGTCTGTCGCTTTGAATCCAGAATAAGGTGGTCACTCTTATGGTCATATACAGGTGGAGCAGTTTATATAAATGAAGTTTGACCTGTATTAAACTATGGGTTTATTCTTTTGAATATATGGGGGACACTTTACAGAAGGTCTATCTTGCTGATTTCATTTCCTAGGCAGGCGTCCTGATCCTTTGGAGAAAACTTACAAGGAGCCCTTGATAGGAAGTATGACTGGACCATAAGCAGACAGGACATACAGTAAAGGTGAGCAAGTTTTATAATGGAATAAGGTGGTTGCTCTTCTGATCATATACGGGTGGAACAGTTTATATACATGCAGTTCAGATGTGTTGAGTGTAGTTGTAATTAGAATGAAAGAAAGTCCTTTAGGAGTACCGCATGCCTTGGGACATCACTAATGTATATCTTTGTGCATAGCTTTTGCTGGCAGTACCTGAGAATTATAATTATGCTTTTTTTGTGTGTGTTTACATGATAGCAAAAACTATTTGTGTTTTTTATGTAAAATGTATGAATAGCTCAGTACACATGACTTTTAGCATTGTTTGCTTCCTTTTGTTCTACAATGTACTAACATTCTAAAATGAATGTGTTCTGCTCTGTCTGTTCCCATTAATCCAGCAACCGTCATCCTCTTTAATGGCTTACTCCAGGGAAGACCTGAAGGGAACTCCATCATAGGTGCTTCAAACTGAAACACCAGATGGATAAGGATAAGATGGATAAAGATCTCACATGTACAAGCCCATACATAAAATAAGTAATCACAACAAATACACTTAAATGAGCCATTTAAATGTGCAGAATTGCAGTGGTCACATGACTGTCCAAGTGTCATTCTTTGACACCGAAGTGAGACAACTAAAATTCACACATATTTTCACAAATAATAAAGTGCCACTACAGCCCACAGACTGTTTCACTGAATTTTTTAATCACAAACTACTTTTTTGACAAAACCAAAAAAAGAATGCATTTAGTACAATGACAGCCTTTATAAATATATAATAAAATGCCAGGATGGCACACTATTCTCCTTGCACTGTGTTCAGCTCCAATATAAACAGCACTTATGTTTTCCATTCAACTCATTAATAGACTTGTACAGTAGTTATCCCAACTCAATGAATATATTACTTTTTCTTGGCTATGTGTATCTGTCATGCATGTCCCCACCTCTTGGCTTAATGCTACAACTAGGGATGTCCCGATACTGATACTAGTATCAGTATCGGGGACGATACCAGGCATTTTCATGAGTACTTGTAAACGAAGCTGCTGCCGTCAAAAAAAAGAAAGAAAGAAAAAAAGCCTAACTCTCCCGGGCACTCCGGGAGTCTCCCGCTCCCGGCCGTCAAGGAGAGAAACACTGCTTTTTCTTTTTTTTTCTTATTCTGACACTGAGCCATGTCAGAATAGAAAAAAAATAATAATTTTTGGCCATAGGAATGCATTGCTAGATTCCTATTGGCTATTTAAATTTGCAATAGCCAATAGCAAACTAGCATTGTACCCGCCCTCTGCTGCTGTCAATCAGTAGTGGTGGATCTGATGGAGAACTGCAGCAGAGGGCGGGTGCAATGCTAGTTTGCTATTGGCTATGGCAAATTGAAATAGCCAATGGGAATCTAGCAATGCATTCCTATGGCCAAAAATGTTTTAGTTTTTTTTCTATTCTGACACGGCTCCGTGTCAGAATAAGAAAAAAAAAGAAAAAGCAGTCTTTCTCTCCTTGGCGGCCGGGAGCGGGAGACTCCCGGAGCGCCAGGGAAAGTTAGGCTGTCTGGAGATCAGTGTCCCTGGTTAGCTGGTAACCAGGGATGCTGATCTCTCTGCAAGTGACCGGAGCCAGCCGTAAGATCATGGCTGGCTCTGACCAGCTGTCAGAAGCAGGCTGTCGGCCGGCCAATGGACGGCCGCTCGGCCAGCTTCGGCTTTCAGCGCGGCTCAGCCGAGGCATATGCGTTCGGGAGCTGTACGGACTGTACAGGCTATAGTGAATAGCAAGTTCGGGAGCTGTACGGGCTATAGTGAATAGCCCGTACAGCAGCCCTTCTGTTCTACTGAACCAAAGGGGTCCTGGGGCCGAAGCTACGGCTAGATCCTTCGGCTGCTTCGTGAATAGGCCCCTAAGTCTTGCCAAAATTAATATATGAATCAGCCAAGTTGTCTTATTCAAAAAGACCATGGGATACGAGAAAATCATATCTTTTATTTAGAAAATTGTATATTTACAGGCTTTCTATGTCTTTTTGAAGTCTTGCAGATACAAATGCACTTCTACTTACTCATCAGATTATGAATTATTTATGCAATTCGGAGAGCCCAGCCCTGGGAAAAAGAGACTGATTTAATTTTTACAGTTTAATTAAGCAAGGGAATATTAAACAAGTGTGACAATTCCAAGTAACCAATACAATAAAAATATACCAACCAAACATGAAAAACACAAAACAATAGAACAATAATTAGCACGTCCGAAAAATGTGGATTGTTATGCTCAATAAGGGGATGTCTTGAAGCTGTTAAAATATTTTCCGTCAGCAGTCTTATACCATAAAACGTTCCAAAACAATGTCTAACTAGACTTGAGAATAAAGGCTTACAAAATAACAAATATTGTTTCACCTCCAGGGGTGAGCATACTGCTTAAAGTGATATTAAAGCCAAGATTTTTTTTTTTATTTCTCCTTTAAGTGGACCCTCCTTTGCTG